TGCCGATTTTTACAAAACTAGACTGAAAAACCACACTATTTATTACTTGGAAAATTCATTAATTGAGATACAGATATATAATTCTTGAAGTTGGGCATGATTGCACTTTCTAAAATCTTTTTTCATGATTTAGAATCTTTGACATTCTTCCCAGAACCATTAATTGTTTTGAAAAATTGATTTTTCCAAGAAGATAAAGAAATGAATTTATTTAAAATCGAGTTCTTGGGCCAAGCACCAGGAAACTACATTGCGTTCCTTTTAGAGGTTTCACCAGGAAGGTTCAACTTGTATCATGTTACAGGCTCTCCACCTCATGGATTCAGATTCGACGTAAAATATGATTATGATTACGAGAATTCTTGTACCTTCATTCGAGATTCATTGTGTTTCATTAAAACAATCACCTATAGTGAGGAAGTATTTGAGTCGAATCTTCGAAGCGTCCCGGTTCCCGGTCCGGCATCAATGCGTGATGTTATGCGAGAAAGGTATGGCAATTGCCGCACCTGGTATCAGGCTGCATTAAATGTGATTTAGATCATACTTTGGTAAACCGATTTCTTCAATTGAATTAATTCTTTGGTCAGATCTATCACTGCAGCATTTTGAATCACAGGTGCTAACTTGGAAAGATGTGTTATTTATAAGTAACAAGATTAATAAATTCCCAGCTAATTTTTTTCCCTCTGTTTCACACGTGGTAAGCGAGTCACTTAACCTAGATATCTTCAAGTTCATGAATCCTTATCCATTGGCAATGGAAATGGATTAGTGAGCTAGCCTTATTAACCATACATGAAATTTATAATAAGAGTGTAAATCAATAAAGCCTTCTTATTGACGGAAGTATTAAAAACCAACATGGGAGCCTCATTATCCATTGGCCCAACAAGAAACAATTTCATCAAATCCCAATATTCAGGCAAAAATGCCATATACTCCCAATCAATTAAAACAACACTCATGTCATCTTTGACAATAATATTATGGCAATTCAAATCACCGTGGCGAAGGCAAATGATACTATCGGTGGGTAGAACAAGCTCTCCAAATCTAACTAATCTTGGATCGATTTTTAAATATGAAGAGATGTGCTTGTTGAACTCCCTTTCAGATTCAAACTTCATATGGTCAATCAATGGACCATAAATTGTAGTACCATCAATTCCACATATTTCGTTTGATGTTTCTTCCTTAAGTTTATTCAACTCATTTACGATATTATCTGTGACAGTCTGTTTCTGCTCTTCACTTAATTCTGGCAAAATGTCATATAACGTCTTTCCAGCAATATATTCCATTTCAATGTAGAACTTGGAGTCCTTTGTGTAATAGTCATAGATCTTGGGACAAGATACTTTGTTTTGCACGTATTCTAAATTACGTGCTTCTTGGAGGGTAGTGCACTTTATTACTCGATCACCAACAATCTCCACTTCTCTCATATTTGGTTAATTGAATTACTCAGTTTCGATATTAAGCGTT